TTACCAGCAAAAGAAAATTAAAACTGAGGTCTTCAGACATCTACCCAATACTTATCTTCATTAAAAATGGCTACTCTCATCAAGTTTACATTAGATCAAATCCTTTAAGTAATAAGCCATGTGTATGTGTATGTGTATAATAATAATAATAACAGCTGCCTTTGTTGAGCACCTACTATGTGCTGAGTTCTTCCTGTGTATCATCTCTAATGCTCATGACCCTGCAAAGGCTGAAATGACATAGCCAACTTGCTCAGGACCACATAGTGACGTGGTAAAGCTGATATTCAAATACAGGCTTTTCTAGCTTCACAGTGTAGACATTTACTTTAAGCCACACCAATATGGATATAAAATACCACCTCCAAGTCCAAGGCAGAATATAGGTAATAGTCACTCCTACAAAGTCCTTTTCCAATAAATGGCTGGTGGCAGCACTTTAGGTTGTTGTGAAGATTAAATTAATAAATTCTTAAAGAGAGCTAGACCATATCTGGTATCAAGTAAGAGTTCAATAGCTGATGGCAATGATGGTGGTAAAGATGAAGATAAACAGAATTGTTTGAAAGGCACTTGACATATTTCTCATTAGATTTAATTCCACCAAACTAGCTGCACACACATATCCTTGTACCAAAATAGCCAGCCTTCTCATACCTTTACACACAGGCAGATATAACCAATCAAAAACACCAACACATAATTACCTAACGGAGTGATTCTGTGCTGAGCTAACTTCTGGGCACAATAGGAATATGAGACATGGTCCTTGCCCTTAATTCCAGCATCCAGTGTTGTTGGAAAAGCTAAAAGGAAACAGTAACAACTTAAGAAATTATTTTAATAGTTTTATCTAGCGCCTCGCCCACAGTAGGTGTGCAGAGATATTTGTGGAATGAATGTGTGCCCAATTATTGGCACAGACTGTTAAGTCGGAGAGGCAGGAGGAAAGCTGAGACGATGTAGTCCCAGAAAGCAGGAAAAGAATTTACAGAAGGAGCGAGTGGTAGTGAACATGGAGACAACTGGATTTGGTAATTCACGGATATTGCGTAGATAAAAGCAAGACAATGTCACAGCTGTATTTCTGCAAGGGCACGTGTTGAGCAAAGCTCATCTCTGAGGCTGACTCTGTGCCCTGTTAGCAGGGGCCTCACCTGAGCTCAGGCTTCCATCTGATTCCCAAAACTCTTCTGCAGTGCAAAATCATCTCCTCTTATTATTTCGATCATTTAAACAGCTTGCCGCGTAAGTTTCAGAGCCATTCTTTTAAAAAATTCTCTTTCTTTGCCTCCTTCTATAAACTCTCTAAGTGTGATAAGATCACTCTTTTAGTTGCAGCTATTTCAAGATTTTATTGCACAGTCATAAAAATTGTCATGATATCGAGCTCTAAAATGACTGTGGCAGTGTGCGGTAATTACATTTCATTAAAATCCTAGTATGCTTGCCACTAAGAAGATTTTCAAAGCCTCCAGCTAATTACTTTATCTAATAGGGTCTATGACTTTTAAAGGGTCCGTGGTAGAGAAAATAAGTAACATTTTTGTTAGCAGCTCTTGCTTTATCCAAGTATGTGCGTAGATATATGTGTAAATGTAGCGTGTACGGATATATGTATGTATGTGTATTTGATTTTGAATGGTACATCATCAGTACCAAGGACAGTGCCAGTCATCCAGTGTGGTTAAATTCAACTCTTCAGGACGGAATCACCCTTTCCCTTCATCACTATCCCATAGAAATCAACAAGGAATTTGACTAATGGGAAGATTCAGCTAGGATTCTAAATAGGCTAAGTCACTAAAACTTCTGCCTACATCTTTGCGTTCTTCAGGAATCTACTTGTACCCTCAGCTCTTCCAGGCCAAAAAGAAACAAATAAAACTAGCAGAAATTTTTTAATGCATTGTGATTATAAAACTACAGAAGGTTTTCACTATAATCGTGTGCTTTAAAAATTAGTATTTATACTAAAGTCGATATAAAGTGGAACCACAGAAAGACTCTAGGCCACTATTTTTCAAGAATAAAATGAGCCACGTTTTTCTGTCTGGTAGAAAATAGAGCACTTAAGCTTCCACTTGGCTGTGGCTTGTGATTCCGCTGGCTGATTCTTTTCCTACTAGAGGCATTAAATAGTCAACTCTTAATTTTTAAATGCTAGAAGTAAAGATTACCCAGGTAGATAGATAAGTCTTAAGCCATTTGAATTTAAGGCAGATACAGGTATAAGTAGACACTCAAGCATCACTAATTCCGAAACTTTTTGGAGCTATGAAAAGCTATTTATTTTGATGACAATTTTCACCAGCAAGAATTCTGTATGGCATATAATTATATCCTAATGGAGTTGTCTATCAGTTTCTGAGAACGTTTTTGAGAATTTCATGGCATCTCCTCAAGCTAATTGGACGCATCTGTGAGTGCCACAAACCCAGGCCTGGAAATGACTGGTGTCCACATTAAATGACAGAACCATGAAACAGGCCACATGCAGTTTTCAGCTAAATCTAAGTTCTGTCGCTTCTCAATTCACTGTGGAGAGAGAGCGGGAAAAACTGGTTACACCTAAATAGAGCACATAGTCCTGCAAGGGTAGATGTGCTGGTAGTATTCATCTGTTCAACTGGAGTCATTTTCTGACCTGGTGCCATCAGTACATTTCTAGATGCAGCTTCCTTTGCACACAACAGTCACACGAATACATACGTTCATCTCAAAGACCCACGCAGCTGAGCTACTTAGACCTAAATATATCCCTTCCGCCTTCCCCATGGGATCCACTGCAAAGAGGTCCAGTAAGCAGTTTCTAATGTAAAGCAGTGGCTCTTAACCCCAACTGCACATTAGAATCATCTTGAGATCTTCTAAAAATCCTAACGTCCAGCCAAGTTTGAGAACCACTCATCTGACCTAACTCCCTATGCCTAATTGAGTTGATTTCACATTTTTTTGGTTAAGTCATCCCTAACTTAGTGCTTAGACTGTTCTTGGTCATGTTGCCTTTCTGTGGCTTTGTAAGTACAGTGGCCAACAGTACTTACATACCCATATCCATGGGTTCTACATTCGTGGATCCAACCCACTGTGGTTTGAAAATATTCGGAAAAAAAAGGATGGTTTCATCTGTACTGAACATGAACATTTTTTTCTTATCATTATTCCCTAAACAGTACTGTATAATACTATTTACATAGCATTTACATTGCACTAGGTATTATAAGTAATCCAGAGATAATTTAAAGTATGCAGGAGGATGTATGCAGGTTATATGCAAATACTACACCATTTTATATCAAGGACTTGAGCATCTGTGGATTTTGGTATCTGCGGGGTGTCCTGGAACCAATCCCCCAGGGATGCTAAGGGATGACTGTAATTAGTTGCTTTGTCTCTTGAGCTTCTACTTCTCTGGATTAAGATGTTAAACATTCAACACCTTCTAGCCAAACCGCAAAAGAAGGTCGTAACCTGATATGGCTTGAAATAACCAAATTCAGTAGCACCAAGAACGTAGGGGGCTAAAGTAAAATCAAAGAATGAACCCTGTGTATCTGGGATTTGGGAAATATATAGTAGAAGCCCAAAAGCAGCTGCTGTTCAACATGCAACTTCCTTAAGAGAAAACAAACCATGACTCTGCTTCTGGGTTCATTATGAATGGTAGAATACCATTTTGTACATGAGTGACATTTGTCTGCCGACAATGCCATCTGGGACCCTTGGCCAAAGTTTGCCTTGCATTAGGACACTGCAATCAAGATGTCATCGAAAGTATGATATGGGTACAATGGGGGGATATAAGACCATTTTAAATAGTGCGCGAAAGGACATCTTTTATTCAATGATTATTAATTATTTTAATATATTCAAAAATATGTAAGTGGCACAGCAAACACATGCTTTTACAGTGCACATATCATTGTGTTGACTATAGTTTAGAAATGCATCCATTTAAAGAAAAGTATCAATAAATAATAGTACATAAGTGATACTCCTATAAGGAAAGAAAAAGAAGATAAAAGTTTGATAATACTATATTTTAGCTTGTCGTAACAACCGTGGTCAACTTAAAATTAAGGCCAATATTCTTCCTGCCTCCTAAATTAATTTCTTAGGGAGGAGAATGAGGAAAATAAAATGTAAAAGAAGCTATTAGGTCTTTAAGTAAGACATGGAAGAGTCCATGAAATGACCCCCAGGGTGAAGAGCTATTATTTCAGCCAGCTTGATACTCAAAAGGCATTGAGGACACTTAGCCTTGATGTAGTGTCATATTTATTCAGAAGTGAGCCTGCAGCATCTGCAGGAGGGTTGGTAGAAGGTGCAAGCTGGAAAACCCACTGCAAACACCCCGTGTGTGTCTGTTTGGAAGGTGAACTCCATCTCTCTTAGGAGCATGCCCATATTCTGCTGGGCGTGCAGTGTTTGCACAAAGATAAGAAAAGACACAAAAGAAAACCTGACAAGTTTACTGATGTCTGGGGTGTATGAGGGTTGACTTACCCTGTGATGGGCTCCAATTAAACTCATCTCTGTCTTCCTCACATGCCACTCCTTCCTGGCTCACATTAGAAATTCAGGAACAGAGAACAAAGCAGCCCAGTTTGTTTTTCCAGAGCAAGAGGGGTCTGGTGAAAACAGCTCTGACAGCTATGCTCTGTGTCTTGGTGAACTAAGGGCTTTTACATGTTTCCTTCAAGACTGTTTAGTCTGCATGCTAAGGATTCATGTATCAGTTTTTGGCTCTAGTGTCATTGAGGTAGTTTGATTTCCAGTGGTTTCGTTGTCATCTGTATTTGCCTCCAGTGAAAAAATAACTGAGAGTCGAGTTATAGAAGAGTCACTTAAAACCTTGCCTTTCTTCATTCACTTTCTTTAATGGTACTGCTAGTGCTTCTTGGAAAAAAAAAAAAAAAAAAACCCTGCGGCGGCAGTCCTTAATAAATAACACCTGGATCAAAATTGGTAAACTGCTTTCACGCTGGCTCTTGCAGAAGTGGCAGTGCATTGAGGACACATCTGGCAAGCTTCGAATCCACAAGTGTAAAGGACCCAGTGACCTGCTCACGGTCCGGCAGAGCACGCGGAATGTCTACTCTCGCGGCTTCCATGACAAGGACAAAGAGTGCAACTGTAGGGAGTCTGGTTATCGCGCCAGCAGAAGCCAGAGGAAGAGTCAAAGGCAGTTCCTGAGAAACCAGGGCACTCCAAGTAAGCCACACTTCTGTGACCATCTCAATGGCAGGCCGAGGCCTTTGGGACTGGACTTTAGAGAGACGAAAAGGGTTGTTCCTGCATGTCAGACATTTTCAATGCAGTTTCCGAGCTAAAAGCAAATCGCTGTTCTGTTTAAAATAAGAAAGCTAAGATTAATTTGAAATTTGGCTTTGCAAACATTTTTCACTTAGGCACAGAATGCAAATATAGTTAGTAAAAGCACCAGATGCAAAACATATGCACACATAAAAGAGCTTACAAAGTGGTTATTCCAAGGGGTACAGGGTATGGTTTAGGTCAATTTTATTTTACCTTAATGCTAATATCCTGATTTGTCTGCCTTGAATTGCTTTAAAAAAAATAATAAATCCAGGGTTTCAGTGTGTGCACCTTTGATTAAAGAAGAAAAGCATAAACACTTTTTAAAAGGCTTATATTTTAAGCTCTGTTTTAGGACAATATATATAGTTTTTTAATTCTGTCAAATCATTGGATCATGCTGACTGGCAGGGTCAAACTAGATGAATTCAATATGAAAATCCCTGCCTTGCATTTTCTTCATAAAAACTCTATCAGGCAGCTGTGAGAAACCCATGATTATATAAATGTGAAAACCTGCAAGCTGACACCTTCCATAAAAGAATGGGAATCTAGTGCCATCTAGTGGGATAATAGGAAAAGGGACTCAATTCTGTGGTGATTCTGTTCTGGTTTGGAAATAAACAGCATACATTAAGTTCAATTCTGCGTCCAAGATTTAGAAACCAGATCATTCACTAGAACAATGGAAGCCCTCAGAACAGGCATTGTTATTGTGGACTCCACAATATGGGCTTTCAGTTCATGAACCCCTGATATTTTATCCAAAATTGTAAGCATATTCTATGCATATATGCACATTTTTCTCAATGTTAATAATTTTCAACAAATTCTTAAAGGAGCCTATAAGTCAAAAGGCTGAGAACCTTTGATTTGGGAGATTTTCTTTCTCCCCTGAGAGTAAATCCCAGATTTAATTCGCACAAGGATATCAAATTGAAAATAGACAAGGGACAAGGAGCCCCGACACACTCCTTTATTGGAAGCTTATGTTCAGCTTAGAAGTAGGAGCGCCTTCTTCTCTGCGAGAAAGTTAGACATCGTTTCCCAAGCGCGGACCATAAAGCGCATTGATTTTTCAATGCTGGGCACAAACAGAAGTCTAGGGCAGCTTTTTCAAATTGTATGGGATCCCGTGAGAGTAGGTATTGGTTTTCCTTCTCTCTCCAAGGATGGAAGGATGGAATTCATGAGGACTCTCAGTGAACCCTCCCCACCTCCCCATCGGAGGTCACGCCCTCATCTGGAGACTGCAGGAGGCTGCAGAGAGCTGTTGTAGAGGCGTGATGATTCTCATGCCACAGCCGGTGCGCCCCCTTTCCTCCTATTTTAGCAGCAGGCCGGAGAAGTGAGGCCAGCTGAGGGTGCCTCTGCAGGGCCTAAGTGCATCTGATAAAAGGAGGCCACTGGTGCACGTTGAAGTTCTCACCTAGTACACACGACCTCTTGAGAAGGCTCCATAGTCACCAGAAAGTATGCTCCCCGTCCCCCGCTGCTCTACCTTCCATCTGTCAAGTATGAGAAGTCAGTTGGCTGATAAAGGCTTGAGCAAAATATAATTTTTCTTAGAGCAATCCTCGACTATTCATACAAATATAAGATACCTAGAGCATTTGCCTTTTTAAAAAAGCAACCCATGCAGTGGTAAGACTGTAGTCTGAGAGTATAGTCCTAGCTCCATAACCTTACAAAGTGTATGCGACATTCAAAACTTCACCTTTCTCATCCGTACAATAAGGACGATAACACCAAATTCATGAGCCTGTTTTGACAATTTGCTAAGTTTTTTTTTTTAATGTAAGGGTTTTTATAATAATCTCTGTCTTTCAAGACTGTGGATTAGAGATAAATAAAAGGTATATAATACATAGCAAAAGCCCAAGAAAGGATAGTCGTTATTATTAATACCATAATTGGGAATATGATTTTATCCAAACACACTGTCTTAGCAGTTCACGTCGAAAACTAAATGTAGAAATTCACAGTCTGTGATAAGTTCCTAGAGATCACCCAGACCTACCCCCTGCCACACACACACACACACATACACTTGAGAGATTCAGGGCCCACAGAAGCCGTGCGGTAGCACAGCCAGGACAGGAGCCCACCTCTCCCGACACGAATGCCAGTGGGCGTCAAGGGCACCACTGTGCCCCTCAGCGATACAGCACGCACCGCCTGCCCCTCTCCAAGATCCTCACTGCACCAGGTGATCATTTTCTTCCCTCCTAAACTGCATCAGGACATCCACAGTGACGTATCTTCTCTTGTTTCCAGAGTACAAGCCCCGATTTGTGCACACCCGGCAGACCCGTTCCTTGTCCGTGGAATTTGAAGGCGAAATATATGACATAAATCTGGAAGAAGAAGAGTTGCAAGTGTTGCAACCAAGAAACATGGCCAAGCGTCATGATGAAGGCCGCAAGGGGCCAGGAGATGGCGACGGGGACGGGATGCTGTCAGACAGCAGCAACGCCGTGGGCCCACCTGCTACCGTCCGAGTGACACACAAGTAGGAAGGCTTTAGGTGTTCACAGGGTTGAGTTTAGAGTTACACCCTCCATATTATAACCATGTTGCATTTCGCAAAGAAACTATCACGGGCAATGCAGGGCCCACGCGCTGCCTACATAGCAACTGGGGGTCAAAGAAGCAGTAAGGAGTCCAAACGATCTAGACTAAGACGTGTGCTTTGGGGTTAATTTCACATCAAGACTGATCAGCTGGGAATCGAGCCAAAGTAATTCAGTCACATCTTGACTTAGCAGGCGTGGAGTTTGTGCCCCTAAGCAGTTACCTCTCTTGGCACCTAGAAAACAGATGGAGACTATTTCAGGCCTGGAAGAGGCTCTTCTATGCTGCATGGTCCCTGTCGCTTAAAGCAGTTGTACAGTCACGGCCTCAGAAATGAAACACAGCCCAAGGGAGGACAGTGAGTCCCAGAGAGGCTTCCAGAAAGATGGCATAGGTTAGGAATGAATGTAAAGTGTGGAAGCATCTAACCTATCCGAGATTGCAGAGAGCAGAAAAGGCCTTGGAAGTCACAGAGCGGGGAAAGGGGTTGACTCCTCACAGCCTTAATGGACTCTCTTGGTCCTTTGGTTCCTTCCTAATCTACTTACTTTCTTGAGAGAGAAATATTTTCTTTCTGAATTTATTAGCAAGATTTTTGCTTCTCCCTAATTTCACCTCTTTGGGGAGATGGGGCACCATGAGCTCTGCCAGGATTTTTATCTCTGGGACTGGTCTCCTGGTGCCTGTTGTCACAGTTACATGCTAAGAGATTAGACCAGAATTTGTTTCTCGTACATTGTGGGTTGACCCCATATCCCACCTACTCTCTATTGCTCAGGCCGTTGCTTTGCTTCAAAACTTAATGGCAAGCTCTTTTGAACCAAACAAGTGGAGTGACTATTCCCCTTCTGACTGCATTTCTTCAAACAAGCCATTTGCATTATGACCCTGAAAACTTCCCTTTTGTCTATGTCTATTTGCTTGGGTTTTCAAAACTTGAGTTTTTTTTGATGGTCTCCGTTCACAGGGGTGTGAATACTGAGCGCTGTCTTGAAAGTTGATCTTAGTGATGACCTTAGTCACAGAGATGTGACACCATCCTTTGCCCACCCTGATCTCTAGGACACATTCCCAGTCACCCTCATTTTGGATCAGCTCCACACTTACTGTTTGTGTCTACATTAGGAGTTTAGTGGATATAAAGTTCTCTTTGCAGGCCGGGCGCGGGGACCCACGCCTGTAACCCTAGCACTCTGGGAGGCCAAGGTGGGAGGATCATTTGAGGCCATGAGTTTGAGGCTACAGTGAGCTATGATGACAACACTACACTCCAGCCTGGGCGACAGAGCAAGACCCTGTCTCAAAAAAAAAAAAAGTTCTCTTTGCTATCTTTAATGTTTTCCAGTATTAGAATATGGACCTAGTTCCTATGTTTTTTGTTTGCTTTTGCAGATGCTTTATTCTTCCCAATGACACCATCCATTGTGAGAGAGAACTGTATCAGTCCGCCAAAGCCTGGAAGGACCACAAGGCGTACATCGATAAAGAGGTTAGTCGTGGCTATGTGACTGCCCGCTATCAGCTATGTTCCAAATTCAAACTCGGCCACCAGCCCCACTGCGACTGGTGGGACATACTGCATGTATACGCCATCCTTTTTGTAATTACGTGAAAAACAGAAAAACAACCAAGGTATGTATCTTTCTCCAGTGATTTAGTGATAGTCCTGCTGAAAACAAAATAGAATGAGATGGCAGTGGGAACTGACGCAATGGCCTTTTGAAATATCTGCAAGAAAATGATTCAATTGTAAAGAGGCAGCTGTTCATGCAGATCTCTCACATGGGTTGGAATATTGAGGTAGACAGATTCCATGCCCGGTTTGTTTCCAAAGTAGTCATCATCTCAAATGAATAGTTATGATCATGGAACACAGAAAACAAGCTGAAAAGAAAGGTACTTTGTAAAGAAATTCCTTATCTTAAAATGTTTTTGTTCAAATGCCTGTTCTCCAGATTGAAGCTCTGCAAGATAAAATTAAGAACTTAAGAGAAGTGAGAGGACACCTGAAAAGGAGGAAGCCCGAGGAGTGTGGCTGCGGTAAACAGAGGTGAGCGCGTTTCTGTCCCACGGTCTGCTTTCCACACTCATTTTTACACAAGCTGGGGCGGGGGGTGGAGTTGGCAGGAGGCTTGTTTCCCTCCTTTACCAACAGAAAGCTTAACATGAATGCAGTATCATATGCTATAATGCCCTAAACTATTTAAGTCAAATTGAACAGGCCATAAACTCAAGCTGAAGGTAAAAAGTCCCATTAAGCTAACAGTTACAACAAAGTAACTGGCTTTATTCTGTTTTGCTTTCGTTTTACAAAATGAACTATTGGATCAAATGCAAGGTTATGAAGATTCACTTTTTAAATCTTGCCTGCAGCTATTACAATAAAGAGAAAGGTGTAAAAAAGCAAGAGAAATTAAAGAGCCATCTTCACCCATTCAAGTAAGTAATTCTGTTTTCCTTGTTTGCTGGGAGTCAGGGACTGTCCACTGGACCCTTCTGAGAGGCTGGGGGGGAGTCCCTGTGTTCCAAGTGGTTTTGCTTCGGAACAAGCAGATCCTCCCAGAAGGGCACATAGCTCAAGAAGTTGAAAACAAAATCCACACCTCATCAAGGGACGATGCTCTTGGGTCCTTTGCGAGGAGCCGTGCTGAGTTCTACTCTAATTCCATACGGCTCCCCGCCTCACACGTGGGGCCTGTGACTGGATTTTACTCCATCCACTGCTTTCTGTGGCAGGCGATTGAGAGTTACGGACTCTCTAAACTACATTGGCGTGTTCTGCAGAGCAGCCGACAATAGTGTTGGATTCTGAAAGTGGGAAGAAACATACATTTTTTTTAAATAATACAAAATTTGCATGTAAAAGAGATTTAGTATTTGAACCTCAACAAAATTTAAGCCTTTTATGAAAAAAAAGAGATAATAAAACAGATTTTTTTTTTTTTTAATTTGCTTTCCAATTTTGTAGAATTTGTCACAGAATTTTTGAAACCGTCTAATCCAAGCCGTCTAGGCCAACTAACTAACGCAGTGGCAGTTAGGTACGGAGCCACCGAACGATTAAGCCATTCATCCAAAGAGTGTGGCTTGCAGGCTGCACGGATTCACACTGACGTTTATTTCTGTCACTGCATACGCAGTACATGAGGAAGGAAGTGTTGATCCCGTCAAGGTTCAATAAGGTTCCAAGAGAGTTGTCGCTAGATGAGTCAGCCTTCACTATTCCTGATTGTATTTTTAAGGCCCTCTTACAAAATAAAGACCGTCTATCATTGTGGATCTGCTATCGTATATGTAAATATTTGTGCAAGACTCAGAGCAGCAAGCCTGTTTCTAATTGAGAAAGTACCTGCTGCTCATTCCCCCAAATCCCTGCTGTCGGAACAGGGAGGCCGCTCAGGAAGTGGACAGCAAGCTGCAGCTTTTCAAGGAGACCCGCAGGCGGAAGAAGGAGCGCAAGGAGAAGAGGCGGCAGCGCAAGGGCGAGGAGTGCAGCCTGCCCGGCCTCACCTGCTTCACGCACGACAACGACCACTGGCAGACGGCCCCGTTCTGGAACTGTGAGTTGCTAGTTTTCGATGCCACTTCCTGCCGCTGTGCAGAGAGACAGCCACTCATCGCTTAGACTAGGAATTTAGCAGCTTTTCTGAAACCAGGAATCTAGAAAGATCCAAGAGGAAAGCATCCTATGATATTCCAGACCCGCAACTGGAATTGTTTTATCAGACATTCCTTTTTTTCTTTGGAAATTGTTTTGGTGTCTTGTTTGCAAATGCCAAGCTTCTCTCTGGGCTTTTCCTCCTGCAGATGTTATTTTACACAGTCCCCAGCACCTGGCAGAGTTTCTGTCTGTAACTAAATAACTAAATGGATGAACGGCCAGTAAATGCTGGACAGTTTTGGCCGGGCGCGGTGGCTCACGCCTGTAATCCTAGCTCTCTGGGAGGCCGAGGCGGGCGGATTGTTTGAGCTCAGGAGTTCGAAACCAGCCTGAGCAAGAGCGAGACCCTGTCTCTACTAAAAATAGAAAAAAATTAATTGGACAACTAAAAATATATAGAAAAAATTAGCCGGGCATGGTGGCGCATGCCTGTAGTCCCAGCTACTCAGGAGGCTGAGGCAGAAGGATTGCTTGAGCCCAGGAGTTTGAGGTTGCTGTGAGCTAGGCTGACGCCACGGCACTCACTTTAGCCCGGGCAACAAAGTGAGACTCTGTCTCAAAAAAAAAAAAAAAAAAGAAATGCTGGACAGTTTTGACCCATGTAGACTTTTTTTTTCTGCTTTATTTGAAGTGCATATTGTAAGCATGATAAAAGGAAGCAGAAGAATAGTAAAGTCTATTAAACTCGGGGCCCACATCCTGCTTATTCTCAGTCCACTGCAGTACCAGCACTGGTGGGAAATAGAGATTCTACAAAATTATTTGGTTTTACATTGAGTTACTAGGAATATGGAATAATAACAATTGGGCAGGTTTTAAATTGGTGCTTATATTTTCTTTAGTGGCCTGTGCACAGTATTCAGAGGCTGTAAACAGATAATACTCTAAATTTTTGTGGTTCATCATCCGACAAAGGTGTACCAGCCTAGGGAGGAGATGAAACACGGAATCCTGTAATTGTGAGGATCACTGGAGACCACCCAGGCCAGTGTTTCTCGAACTGGGATTTAGAGACTCCAAAGAATCTAAAGACCCTTCTTGGGGGGATCTAGGGCCTATCTGGGAGGATTTTTGTTTTATCTTTCCATTTGGATGCTTCTTGATTTCAGCGTTCATGTTTGCATTTGTGTTTACAATCGCATTGAGGCCGAGTGAACTCTTAACGTCATTAACATTTAACTTTTAATACAGTTGCTTAACTGGGGCCTGGGGATCTCCGAAGGTAATTCAGATTACTAGGGGTCTGCTCTTGGCCAGCCTCTGGGCTGAGTAATGGGGACACGACATTCAGCAACACACTTTGTTCTCTGCCCTCATAACACTCACGTTCTAATGGGGAGAAGGTAAAAAAGAAAGGGGGCGAAATACATAAAATAATTACAAGTTGTAGTCATGCTATGAAGGAAACAATGATGTAAGTTTTTAAAGGGGACCCTTTTAGAGAGGGCGGGGATGATGGTCTTTGTGAAGAGGTGAAACTTAAGCAGAAACCTAAAGGGTCAAGAGAAGCGATCTGTGTGGAAGGGAGAGCGTCCAGGCGGAGGGGATGGCATGAGCAGAGGTCACAAGGAAATAAAGAATTTGGTGTGTCTAGGGCGGTAAGCCCCTTCAAAGATGAAGCATTGAGAAGCATGAAGTTATAGTTGCTCTTGCCAGAAGGAGTCCTTCATACCTCTGTCTGCTTCTCCCCAGGTGAGCTGAGGCTGTCCTGCCCAAGCCACCACTGTCTTACCTCAACCACGGCCCAACCTCCTGTGTGGTCTCCCAGGTTCCTCTCCTGCTCTCATCAGTCCATTCAGCTCAGAAAAACTAGAGTGATCTTTTAATGACCCCCTGCTATTCTCGGGCTAAAGAGCAAAATCCTTAACATATCCAACAAAACCCTGAATGCTACACTCCAGTACTGCTTTGGTACCACTTCCTCCCATTCTTGCATATTAGGCCACTCCACTTCGCTTTGTTCCTCAATTATCCCAAACTCCCTCCTATCACAGGACCTTTGCACATGTTGTTCAGTCTTCCTAGAAGGCTCTTGCCCCTGCACCCTCCTACAGCCCTGTCTGTGCCTGTCAAACACTACTCACGCTTCCGATCTCAGCTGCAGTGTCACTTCTCATGGACACCTTCCCTGTGCTCAGGGAGCCCTTCTTACTCTATGGGCAAGCTCTACTTTTTCTCCATGGGACTTACCACACCTGTAATTGTACATTTCTTCATTTTTGTTTTGGCTTAACTTTTGTCTCCTCTTCTAGACTATAAATTTCTCGAGATAAGAGGCCATGTTTCTGTGTCACTCTTATACCCTGGCACAAAGGAAGATGCTGTATCAATATTAGGTGAATAAATAAAAAAAAAAGAAAGAAAGAAAAGAATAAACAAGCAAGCAAACCGCTCTGTCCAAGATCAAATCAACTCATGTCAATTTAACCACCTTTGCATGCTGGCCGCATGTCTCACCGTGCTGGTGATGTGAGGAATGTGTCTGCTATCACTCAGCCCTTACAGGAGCAGAGTGGGGACTTGATCTCATTCAATACCAAATTCAGTGCTCTTTCTAGTATACAAAGTATTTTTGGTGCTCATGGTACTGATATTTTAAGACCGCAGCTATTGGAAATTTTTTCACAAGCCACATCTCTGTTTTGTTTTACAAAACACATTTTATGTCAGGATCCCATACACATACGTGCACATATACAGATATATACGTATCTGTGTGCGTATGTGTAATATATATACTGAAATGAAAATTTCAAAAAGTAAAACTGTGTATAATACACTTTGATATTTTTTATCTATTCTATTTCATATTTTAATGTTTATTCCTTTATTCCTCATATTTGCAGAGTCACCTTAAACCCTTGGTAGTGGTCGATACTCAATAACATGAAAAAATAGAAAAGAAAAATCAAATATACCCAAGGACATGATCCTCCAATGCAATGGTCTCTAAACAGTCTTGGTTATGTACCCATGTCAGTTTTTAAAATGAACACATAGTCTATATTTAAGTATATACTTGCACTACTATACTAATATACCCTGCGTATTATGAAATTACACAAAACAGAAATTAAAAATTATTAGATAAAGGTAAAGAAAAGTTTTTTAAAATAGTTTTTATTCTTTAGAGGACCCAAAACGTTTTGCTGTCACTTGATATGTATGCTTTAAAAAAAAGAAATCCCAGGGTCACACTTTACAACTCAGTGAGCCAAAGGTTTAGTTTATGCTTAATACGTGATCTTTTTTTTTTTTTTTTTTGAGACAGAGTCTCACTGTGTTGCCCGGGCTAGAGTGCTGTGGCGTCAGCCTAGCTCACAGCAACCTCAAACTCCTGGGCTCAAGCAATCCTTCTGCCTCAGCCTCCCGAGTAGCTGGGACTACAGGCATGCGCCACCATGCCTGGCTAATTTTTTCTATATATATTTTTAGTTGTCCGATTAATTTCTTTCTATTTTTAGTAGAGACGGGGGTCTCGCTCTTGCTCAGGCTGGTCTGGAACTCCTGAGCTCAAACAATCCGCCCACCTCGGCCTCCCAGAGAGCTAGGATTACAGGCATGAGCCACCGCGCCCGGCCTTAATACGTGATCTTAAAACTGCCTTGACGTGAAAGTTGACTCAAAAGGATGGGCTGATTCTATAGCTGTACAACGTTGGCACACTGAGTAAAGCAGGACATTCATTCTTTTTATACTATCATGAACTAAGCAGTCATTTTTATTGAAATTACACTTTTGAATTTCTATCCTCCCTGAGATTTGTCATTTATTCTTACAAAGCAATCACAAGGTATTGTATTATATTTTTATATTTTATGAGATAAGTTCAAAATTCATATGAATTATTAATTTGGAAGATTTCTATGCAGATTAGAAAAATTCTGATTTCATGGTTTTTAATGTGTAGATGTGAGCTAAATGTTCACATATAAGCAATATAAATTATAAATAACATGTTTAGAGCACTTTTAATGAACAATTATATAATAATGAAGACATTTTCAATCATCCATTTTTCAGATGTTCTCTTTTCCTCTGAAAGATCAGAGAGGGCTGAACAGGCAGAACACAGCAGGGTTTCGGGGCAGTGAAATGACTCTGTGTGATACAACAGTGGTGGACACATGTCATACATGGTCCAAACCCATGGTGTGTGCAACACCACGAGTGAACCCGAATGTAAACTGTGCATTTTGAGTCGCAATGAAGTGTCGATGTAGGTTCGTCAATTGTAACACATGTGCCACTCTGGTGGGGGTTTCCATAGTGGGAGAGGTTGTACATCTGTGGGGACAGGGGTTATATGGGAACACCTGTACTTTCCACTCCACTTTGCTGTGAACTAAAACTGCTCTAAAAAATAAAGCCTGTTGAAATAATTTTTTTAAAAAGTGATTTCTCACTCAGTGTTTAAAACATCTCCTTTAGCTTAAGGGGACAGATTTAGTGTGTCTAATACTGCATAGGGCAATGGAGTCTAGTGGTTAAGAATAAACCCTCTAGCCAGACCCAGCTGTGCAACCTTGGACAAATTACTTAACTTCTCTGTGGCTTGGTTTTCCCATCTGTAAAATGAAGATGACAATAATCTCTTTCTCAAGAGGTTGCTTTGAGGATTAAATGAGTTAATACAGTACATGCAAAACACGTAGTGCACAAGGAACGCTCCTTAAGAGTACCTATTCTAATTGTTTAAAAAAATATTCTCTAGACACCATGTTTCTGAAATTCAATTATTACAGGAAAGATCAGTAAATTTGGAACCTTTGCCTTTCTGTAAATAGAAGAGTGGATGATTTGTTTTTCAATTTTACATCTCTTTTACATACTGTCTACAAGTTAACCAGGGAACTCTGCATGATACAAGAGATGTTCATGGTGACAGCCCAGCTCATGTTAAAGTGTTGCAGAGATCTTCCCAAATCCACCAGGCTGGGCTCAAGCCTTCTCCAAACCCCTCCACGTTGCAGAATCCCAACTTGCTATGTTCCATTTGTGGCGGGTGGCTGTCTGTCACACAGAACACGCGAGGGCACCAGTTCCAACCATCTCTTTGTTAAATAACCATTTTTCTTTTTTAAAAAAAGGTATAAATGACCATAAATAGAAATGATGATGTTTTTCTTCTCATAGTCCACTCACTCACCCCACGCTGGAAGCCACTGCCTAGCAGAGGTAAGGGGAGGTTAGACGATTGTGCCTGAAACTGCACCTCCGCCTTCAGCCTAGACAAGATCGCCATCTTTTTTTCGGTTTTCACCTAGTTTCACAGGAAATTTGTATAGAGAAAGGGAAAAAAGTATCATTATCCTTAACAACAAATGATAGTATTTATAAGAAAATGTAAACCTTAAAATATAAAGATAAGGAAACATTGGAATGGCCGGCCTGCCTGAGGTGTTTCACCGTTTTGTTTTGTTTTTCTCTTTCACCCAACAGTGGGATCTTTCTGTGCTTGCACGAGTTCTAACAATAACACCTACTGGTGTTTGCGTACAGTTAATGAGACGCATAATTTTCTTTTCTGTGAGTTTGCTACTGGCTTTTTGGAGTATTTTGATATGAACACAGATCCTTATCAGGTAAGACAATATGAGTTCATTTTATGAAGGCTGTTGAAAATAGGAGAATCAGATCATGAGATTAAATAGACTGTCCTTCTCTCTTCATTCACAGCTCACAAATACAGTGCACACGGTAGAACGGGGCATTTTGAATCAGCTACACGTACAACTGATGGAGCTCAGAAGTTGTCAAGGATATAAGCAGTGCAACCCAAGACCTAAGAACCTTGAAGTTGGTAAGGACGAAAAGATTATTTTTCCATATTACCTAAAAAATTCTTTGTGTTACCAAGTTTTCTGCCTTGGAAACATTTATATGCATAGAAACACCTTGGAAACATTTATATGCATAGAAACATATAGTTCGGGATACTTAGAGGGGAAACTTTGCAGGCATTTCCAAACATAATTTGATCTCTAAGTTTAGCTCTGGGTACACTAATGAAAAACTTAATCCACCAAAACATTTGGTGAGCATTTCCTTCCAATCTCTCGCACAGATCTATTCTATTAGTAAACCTTGATTCCTGATAGAAGCATCTTTTGGAAGATGAGATGAAAGCTTTGGGGATTAATTTGTTATTGCTGTCAACAGTCATAAGATATACTTTAAGTAAACCAGGATATCCTCTTTTCTTTTTAAGAGAACTTAGATGGAAACACACAATGTTCTATTTCTGCTTGTCCCAAGTGGGAGCTCCCCAAGTTGGATCCCTGCCCATAACACAGTGAATTACATTTCTTTTGCCAGTATTTCCCATCTGAAACTAGAAATATTTGAGCAGTTCATTAACTTGGGATCTAAAAGTATAAGAGGGTCTGTATACAATCAGCCAGATGTTCCTTCCCTGCTCTGTAATATTAAACTAACTTATTCCTCCTTTTGGTTCATGGGGACACAATTCTTTTCAATGTCAGCCCCAGCTCTTTCCTGGTTAATGAGAATACTCATTTTCTCCTCATAATTTCTGTAGAAATTTAAATACCAGCTGTCCCTGCAAGGAAGGACATAGAACTAAAGCTGGCAAGGGCATGGGCATTGGCATGCCAACCCCAAAAGGGTGAAGAGCTGGACTCACAAGCATTCAGGAAAAGTTTGCAGGAGCTCTTTGTTACATAGCTGAGTTTTCTCAGTGTCTGTAACAGCCTGTGTCTCCGTGGGTCAGGGACAGAGCCTGTGTCACCAGCAGGAAGAGTGAGCGGCTCTCTGAGTCATGCAACGTGAAGGGAGAAAGTATCCTCTTCCCAAAATGATCCACATCTGTGCCTGTCATTTCCTCCACTGTAGGCTCAGAAAAGCTTTTGAGCTCTGGGAGTCCCATAAGAAACTATAAATCCCGTGAGAGAGGTCACATCTCAGCTCTCAGTCAACACTTAGTGGAATTAGCACTTAGTGGAATTAGTTGCCAGTCAAGAGAGGACTGCACTTGCAAAATAGGTCTTTTGGTCACTGACCCCACTCAACTCAAATCTTTTCAAATATCTTGCTTATCTGTTGACCTGTTCCTCAAATCTTATAAAAAATGAAAGGAAGAAAGAAAGAAAGAAACCGCAAAGACGTGGAATCTAAACCAATCGTTAGAGGCACTAGAAATATTACACCCAGATACTTCTCCCCTAAAGAACATAGCACTGTTACTGGTGATGACATAACAGCTCTACTTAGTGAAATCTGATAGAGTCTCTTAGTGGTAACGTGACACACCAGGTGGAGCCAGTTACACTGTTACACTTCAAGTAGTGCTCTCCACCTTCTAGAATGTTCCTAAGGGAGGTTATTACTGGCCCATTTGTTCAAGTGTTTTGTCTAAAAATAACAGAAATTTAACTGTTACAGAGAATTACATGCACTTCTGGAAGTATTTTTCTCACTGGTTTTAAGTGGGCTCTCCCACATGTCTCATCCTACCCTTTTTTCATATGAACTCTTATGTATTTTTTATCTTAAACCTTTTCATTTATAGCTTTCAATCTTCATGTTGAACTTGTCTAATAGAAAATCTCTGTTGGGCTTCAGCACTGTCTGTATTTAACACGATGTGTTTCTTTCTAGGATTTAGATGTTGTGCATGGAAAACTGTATAGTGAATGGTTTTGTGAGTTCTAAAGCTAACATAAATTACTCTTGTATTTTCCTATATCAGGAAGTAAAGATGGAGGAAGCTATGACCTACACAGGTATTCACACTTTTTTATTCTCCTCGGCAGCTTCTTCCCCCAATAATTGCATGATCCAGTCATTTCGCCTAATTTCTGTTTCTTACCATGTTGCACAGAGCACATCTTGGGGTGCATGCTTGTTCTAACAGCATTCTCCACCATATTTTGCCATCAGTCACAGATCTGTCATTTTGCTTTTAAATCAGCTCACTGTCCCATTGAGATGTCTCAGAGCACTTACTCACTCCCATGCTTGTTTGCTTGTTGGATGATGCTTCTAAGCATGGAACGATGTGAAGGGGAAAAACCACAGTGGCCTTTGGGAGCCCTGGGAGAGGGTGGAAGATTTATTTTCTTTGTGGCGCTTATGCTCTGATTTGGTAGAGAGGCTTCACAGAAACGGGGCAGAGATTTTTATGAAATAGAACATCCAAGACACAAAAGGACTAATGAGAATTTTAAGAGCATTCTGAAGCCACAGTTGAAGGAAACAGAAAGAATGTCCTTGTGGATGGTCATTAATTAACTCTGGTGGTGAAAAGCAGTGTCCGGATATAAGATTCAGAAGGCTCTGCTGTGTGGTGGTGGTGTCCTTGTGGATGGTCATTAATTAACTCTGGTGGTAAAAAGCAGTGTCCAGATATAAGATTCAGAAGGCTCTGCCATGAAGGTGCTAAGGGCTGGGGACAGGCCATTCGGAGAGTCAGGACACTCAGAAAGGTCTCAGCATAGCTGAGATAACAGTGCCTGGCACACAAAAACAACCCCCATCCATCCCTCCTACCTCCCTGTGCTTTGGAGGAGGGACCCAGACACCTGGCGGCCACATCACTTGCTCTCCCGGCCACGTCAGCCATTGCTAATTTTCCACTCCAAGCACAGACCTTGGGCGAGTCTGTTGGAAACATGCCACGTGAGGCGGGTGGGGACTGTCCTTACCACCTCTACTGAGGGAAAACTCAGGCACTGATGTGTTAACTGGTAGCCTAGCTAATGAATTCGCCTGGGAGAAGAACGTCCCTCACAGAAACATGGACTCCATTGGTGCCATCCATGTTAATATCTTCTCAGAGAGACAAGAGAATACTGTCGTTCCAGGGCACCCTGTTCAGCCTACCACCATTCCCTGCAGCCTCCAGAGCTATGGTCTCAGAGTCCCTCTAACTGACAGTAGGACAGGTGGTGGGGAAGATGTAAACAAACGAAGGAAGCTGGACTTTTGAGGGTATTTTATAACCATTTATATATCTCTTCTTTTTTCTCTCTTCTCTCCTGTTTTTCTTCTTTCCTTTCTTCGATCTGCCCCCACCAACCCCAGCACACATAAAACAAAGCAGAAGAACCCACTCTTAAGTGGGTATCCCCTGGGGTCTGGGCTGACGAGGTAATATCCTATACACTAAGACTCTCTTGCCTGCTTCCCATGGTCCACATTAAGACATTTCCAAAGTGCAACGTTATAAATGGGCCTAACACTAAATATTGACTTTACAATTGGTTTATGATGCTCTCAACTTACAGCTAAGGGATTGCCAGTCTAGTGTCCTTTTACTTTCGCCATGAAAGAGGAGAAAGGGTATTCACGGGTTATGACAAGCCTGGTCAGCGCTGACTCAGAGTCATTCTCCAGGCGGTCATCCCTGGACAACTTTGAAATGAAGAATGTTTAGCTCCGCTTCGGGGGGAATTCAATAACATGCATCTCTCCCCTTCCCTGATCCCTGACACCACCACTCAACGGGCCAAATAATCGTTTGTTTCTGAGCTTACTTTGATACAGACTTGGCAACTTTAGTTGTGGAAAGCACATGTGCAGGGGTGACATGGTGTAACCTGCTGCTTTTTTCTTCTAAGCTCCTTACCAGAGGTCCGATCTGAGGATACTTTATAACTCAAAATAACTGGCATTTTCAGACTTTGCCATTTCATAATCTACAAGGCAAGCCATCAAGCCATCTTTCAGCGGATATCCATGTTGTTGTAGACAGGAAATCTTGGCACAGGGTCACTGAGAGAACATCTGCCTAGTCACACCTGGGGACTCACTGGACACCCAAATGCAATTTGATGTGGCCTTACCTGCTCATGGGATCTCTTAGGATTGGATGGGGACCGTCGGGACAGAACTGTGGGAAAACTGCTGTCTCCCAATGGTGTCGCCAGTACAAAGCCCTCCGTCGATGGCACCACTTAAGGGGTTTCAGAGCCTTAATTCTTTCAGATTGTAATGATTTTAGAAAACCAATTAAGATGTGCTTTTAATCATGAAATTTGATTACAAAAAAGACATGAGAGAAATAACAACCAGACCTGAAGAATTCAAAATTTGAAAATTCAATGGAGCATTTTAGAAAATTTATCTTATACAAGATGGACTAAATAAGTACTTTTAAACTGCCTTCTTTTAGGTGTATTTTCAAAAATTAATCTTCAGCCTTATTTGGAAAGGATCTTCAAAAAACATGTTTGTTCTCTGTTCAATTTCTTCTCTTTCTTTCTTTTTTTTTAATGCTGTTCCCTGTGCACAAGGCAGGGGCAGCTGCAATGCTCTGCTCACTCACGCTGGTCATTTTCCAGTTAAGGCAAGCTCAGAGCAAGGGCACAGCTCAGAAAGTGGCACCAGTGACTCAGGAAATAATTTTTGGCTGGATTTGAAAGCAATAGCTTCTAACTGTATTGCAAAATAGAGAAGGACCAACAGGTTGATGGGGTGTTTATTTTTCCCACTGCATGCGAAAGCTGATGCTACTACCCTTTGATGTCCAAGAAGAGCTCCTGGCAGCCATGGCTGGGTGTCCAGTGGCGGTGTGGGGCAGTCGGTCAGGTGCTGGCAGCCTTCCGCTGGCAGGGCTGCTTCCTGATGCTGTGCCCCGAGCCTGCTGGCTGGCAGACCACACCGAGCTCCACCCTCAGCAACCACGCTCCGTCCACATTGCTTTCGGGCGCTTGTTTTGATTCATCTCCCCCATAGCGACAGTGTGTGCCCGAGACAGTCGTGGGTGACACAGCTGTGTGTCAGTGGCTGTACAGCACTGCGGTCATGGATGTGGATGCCAGAGCCAGACTGCTCTGAGTTCAAATCCCAGCCTCGCTGGTAAGCATGCTTAGAACTGAGTCTGGTCAGTAGCAAACCCCAATAAGTGGTAGGTAGTATTGGTAAAATATAATACAGGATACAGAACATGTACGTGGATGGAACAGTATGTGAAAGGGAATAGTAAGTGAAACAGATTCCAAAGAATGTTAACATTTTATAAGAGACAAAAAGGTCTTCATCAGCACCACCATGTCTCCATCAGCAGTCATCAGCAACCAAGAGTTGGGCACTCAAGTCCATTTTCTGAGCTGTCCGAACCTCTTGAGATGAGAAGAAAACACCAGACCCTCACTGCCCTGCCCTACGTTGCTCTAACGAAGCTTCCCTGCTTCTCCTCTCTCTGTCACATCTCAGGGGCTCCTTCTTATTTTCAAGCTGCCTTGCTAGTGCTGTCGGACTTTTTTGCTTTAGGTGCTCAAACAAGAGATGGGGCAAGGTCAGGGTTTGGGGTTAAAGAGGCTGGAGGTGAGGCCGGCCTCCTAAGGCAATGAGGAGACTTGGGATCAAGGTTGCTGGAGTGTAGGTCAGAGCCAGGGCTGCTGAGTGAGGCTGTGGGTTTGCCCCCTGCACAGAGGTGTGTCGTGGAGGGGAAGTAGGCACCGACGTCCAGCCACAGCTCTGCTGGGCACGCCGTGAGAACTGGGTGGGGGTGGGGTGACAACAGTGACCACTCTGGTCACGGGTAAAGTCAAACGTGGGTTGGTCTAAGCTCTCAGAGAATGTTCATCATTTTTTCTTACTCATCCAATAGTGATTCTACTCCAAGTTCCTTGTTTTGTGGGCTGTAGAAGAAGAAACTCAACACAGCATTTGCAGAGCTCCTTAAGATCCTTCCCAAACTGAAGAATGAAATTTACTTTGGTCGGTTTCAATATTTAGGGGGGAAATGACAAGGAAAAATTCCTCCTTATTTGGCCATTCGACGAATAAATAAAGACAGAAGGGATCTAAATGGCCACCTGTATGCAAGGCACTGCCTTCGAGGAGAGTTCAGCCAAGTGTGATGGTTATAATGCACAATGCAAAGTGCTGGGGCAGGGAATACTTAGCTCCGTATGAGCAATGGGAGGGCCCAACCCAACCCCAAGGAATTAAAAGAAACTTCCCAAGGAGCTTGCATTTATGCAACATCCTGAAGGTGACATTGGGGTGATCCAGACACAGGAGGATAAAGGAAGTCAGTCCAGAGAAGAGAAAGCTCATGCGAAGGAGAGGTTTGTGGGGGGTGATGAAGAGTTCAGTGAGTCCAAGGGAACGAGGAGAGAGGGATGAACTGAAGAGGTAGCCAGAGCCTATCTTATGAAGAGCATTATGTGTAGCGTGACAATATAATTTATCTTCCAAACAGGGATGTTTTTGACCATAGGTAGGAGTACTAAAAAATAATTAAAATTATATAAATTTTGATATATGTATTTATTGGCCGATGAATTCATCACTAGATCTATAAAACTGTTGTGTTTAAAACTATCTTTTTAAACTAAAATTTTAAAAATTGTGGACAGATGCTAAACTGAACAGGATGCCAGTACAAGAGACAGAAACTGGGACTGTCCCAGGCAAGCCAGAAAATTTGAGCACCCTAGTCACAGGGTACATCAAAGAGTTTTAAATGCAATAGGGAGAAATTCAAGAGTGTGAAACTGGGAGAAATAATATGAGAGGATTTGGGTTGATCAGATTAAGTGACATAAATAACAGTTATGAGAACAGTTTTGTGGGTCCTGGGTTCAAGTTCTAGCTCCACTGCTTCCCAATTCGGGGACCATTTGCTAATAGGATTGCATAATTTACTATGTTCTGGCACTCTTCTGAGTGCTTACGTGTATTAACTCATTTAACTCTCACTCTAACTTTGTGAGATCAGTACTATTATTATCCCCATTTCACAGATGAGGAAATTCAATCACAGAGTGACTGA